TTCCCAGGGTTCTCTTCTACCCTTCCCTACAGAGAGAGAGAGAGAGAGAGAGACATAGATAGGAGAGAGAACCTGGGAACAAGGTTGGCACTGAAGGAACCTGGGGTAATTGAATTTATATTAGAAATAAAACTTAGAGTAAATAAGTAACTAACTTAATAAATAACCTCAGATGGGTATGATTCTCCAGTGTGGTACAAAATAATAATATCTTACCTAGTGTTTTTGTCTGTCATTCTACGATATACCGGTACAAAGTCACAGAGATTTGAGGAATATATATAACATCATGTTAGAAGTGTATACTGTTCAAGTCATACTGAAACTTCATAAAAATGATGAACAACTTCAGGCACATTTTGAATTAATTTTGTACTTTATTGAGGAATTTTACCTGTCAAAGTGAATAAATTATTCTAAATTTAATTTCACATACTCTTAATTTATGGTTGGGCCACCTGTGCTGCTATGAGTGTAAAAGTGGGATTAATGGATGAAAATATCATGTAATTTTGCAAAGATACTGAGTTTTCTTTTATTCTTTCAGTGGTGGATGAGGGTATGGCCCACGCTACGGGGAACTGGCTGATAACATCAAGGCCAGTGTCCCTGAAGCTGATGTTAGTGGCCATGTTGGTCGCACATGTAAGTTGAAACCAAAGAGCCTTCACAATCTTTTACCTAAGATAAACTTAAAATAACTGTGTCACGGAATTTATTAAAATTCACTCAGTTGGATCTGCCACCAAATTGAGTGAAGCATAAGATAATCGCTGAGAACATTAAAAGAAGGTCTTCTCTGTTTTCACTGTAACACCATCAACAATAAAAATGCAAACTGTTTAATACAGAAAGTCCAGAATCTGGAAAATGAAAGAAGATACCGTAAAGTCTCGCCAAGAATCAAGGCTGTGTGATATTTCATTTTCGAGATAATCAGAAACGTCTTACCCAGATTTATAAAGCTTTGTATGGAGGTCAGGTGCCTTGTTGGTGTCCCTTTGATGGGCACAAATGTGGCTGCCAAAAACCAACAGAAGAATCAATAGTTTCTTGGTTTGAATTTTATGTGACATCATTTGAAAAACAAGAATAAATAACATTTAAGCCCGTTATTGATTTTCATATCTATTTGGGGATAGGAGTCAAAGGAAACTGAAAATCAACCTAGAATTTTAACCTAAATTTAATTTTGGTCTGTAACTTTTTTGAGCCCTCATTTTTTTGTGTCAGAAATCTCACTCATTCCTTGCACTCCTTCATTTAATTTGCTTAATAATGTCAACATGTTTAAATACTATCTCTCAAACTTTCTTTGAGGTATATAGAGGGCATTACATGGCGTCCCAGAGAAACGAAATTTCTCTTTGACTGTTCTCAAGAGTGAGAGCTGTACAGCCCCTGAAATGATCCCGACCCCGAAATGATCCCCAACCTTGAAATGATCCCCAAATCGACCCCGAAATTTGATACCGACCCCGAAATGATCCCCATTTCTCTTCATGTCGAAATGATCCCCAATTAATTCTTGGAATGGAACTTGTATTCAATCACGGAATTATTACAAATCTGTTGCAGCGTTTACGTTCTTCAATCACGTTTAACATTTCGCTACAAATTAAAAACGTTACAGTTTTTCCTTCTTTCCTTCCCATGAGACCCTACACGCACCTCAACCTAATCGCCAATCTTCTCTCATCCCAAAAAACACTTAAATAGCGACTGGGTACGAGTCTGAGTCAAGAAGACGTAAGCAGCGACTGATCAAACAAAGTGAAATAGAGTTTAGTTGCAATATTTCGACTGGCTAATACCAGTCTTCATCAGGTTAATTGAGACATCACGAATTCACAAAAATATATATGAAGTAAAATTATGACCGGAAATTACATAATATGACGTGGTACGGTGGCTACTTTAAAAGACAAGATAACAAAAAAATAAAAGATATACTATATATAGTTACAGTTCATCACGTTTATTGATGCCCAGAGGCTCAATTGTCTTAGCTTTATGGATAAGGTGGGCTTCACGTGCTTTCCTGAAAGAATCACGCCCATTTTTAAGTTTTTCAATAGGAATCAAAAGCATATGATTGTCGGAATGATTACTGGTTAGAAAGTGTTCTGAAACTGCAGTATGGATGTAATTACCAGTAGGGTTGAGTATTATAGGTCTTCTGTGTTCATTAGAACGGTCTTTGAGGCGACGTTTAGTTTCTCCACTATATTGTAGATTACACAGGCCGCATTGAATCAAATAGATAACATTAAAAGTTTCACAAGTGATATGAGATTTGATGTGGTGGTTCTCACCTGTAGAGTGAAAAGTGTAATCGAGGCTACGACAAAACCTTTCTTAAGATCCAAATGCAACGAGCTTCCGACATTCTTCGCACTGACACACTTACAAACAAACCCAAGACTCAGACTGAAACCTGCTAAAGTCTTCTTGACTGTAACGTTTTCAATTTGATCTATTTTGAGTGATCACGATCTTTTTGGATCCGAGGTTGAGGAAGATTGATTGTACATGGTATTTGCAGTGTTTTTTTTTTACCTTAATTAAACATTTCGCCACAGTTAATGTGATTTTTTTTGGCGCGTTTGTCATCTAATCGCCTTTATGTATACTTTTGCATCTTCAACGTCATTTGAAGATTTTAAAAAGTGTTAAAACACCATTTTTAAAATTCAAGATCCAAGGCATGCAGTATTAAAATCATTTTTAGAATTTAACATCTATGCAGTTTTCTCTATAACCCGGCCTATACTCAGTCACCTAAGTAATAATTTTAAAAAATGTTATGTTTCTTGATATTATCAGTTGCAGTTCATGGTGTTCCTAAAAATATACTATACTTTGTGTATTTTTTTGATGATAATATTTTTGTTTAATCCAGTTCAAAGTGTAATCCCAAATTAATGTCATGTGGGCAAGTGAAGATTGTTAGTGAAGTTTAAGTTATAATGTCGTGCATTTTGCACGATCCATAGTTCTAGGTTATCATTCCATTCCTAAAATGAAATGGGGATCATTTTGGGGTCAACGTGAAGAGAAATGGCGATCATTTTGGGGTCGGTATCATTTTGGGGTTGATTTGGGGATCATTTCAGGGTTGGGGATCATTTCGGGGTCGATTTGGGGATCATTTCAGGGTTGGGGATCATTTAGGGGTTGGGGTCATTTCGGGGGCTGTACAGAGCAGCGAATGAGTGAGATATTTTTCAACACGAGAAGAGAAATTTTGTATCTCCAAGTGGCCATGTAACGTTTTATTTATTAAAGCACCAACGAAATGCCAAACCATTTCACTAAAATATTTTTGGCTGTGTAAAGCATGATTTATTATGTAGCCATAGCAATGGTGATTTTTTCACATGTGAAAATAACATGTTATTTTCAGGTGTGAATAAATCATGTTTTTGCATGAAAGCTCACTTGGTTTTCATTGGTGTTTATATAACAACGTATATTATTTTGCTTTTGTTAGGCTAGTCAGTTATGTATGAAAAACTTTTAAGCTCTTTATACTAATTTGGGGCTCATTTCCTACTTTTCCCTGTCACAGCCTCATTTGAAGTCACTATAAATGGAAAGCTGGTGTACTCTAAACTGTCCCAAGGAGCATTTCCTCTATTCAAAGAGGTAAACAATAGTTCACTATTGTAGAAAGCAATAATATTGGAATTGTCTCCTATCTGAGGATCATAGTTTCTGTGGTGGTAACTGCAAACTGTAGCTAGCATGTACTAGCCCACAAGTCATTTCAACTAGCCCCAAAACCCTTTTTGATTAGCAGGATTGATTACAATCCTTCTGTAATTTCAATTTCCCCCAAAAACAGCACTTGCCCTTCAAGCAAGTTAAGAACAAAAATCACTAGCCCTAAAGCAAAATCCACTAGCCCCGAGCTATCGGACACAACTTTCTTTGCACACTGTTCTTACTTTGCATCTAGTCCTGGAATGTGTGAATGGTTCCTCTTTAGCTACTGTCAACCCCATTTATATGTACACGGAGAGGGCTGCCATACAGTGTAGAAAGTGTCCATATTGAGTCGAACATGTTATTTAAGTCAAAAATAAACCCTTTTATTTAAACAATATACTAAGAAATAGAAAAGGACATTAGCATCATCAAATTAAACATTTTTTACCTTCAAGAAGCCATCATTCTGCTGTCTATGTCAGTGGAAACAATCAATGTCACACATAAAATACTTTACTTAAGGTGATTTCCTGGTTTTGCACTGCACATCTCTTACTGCGCATAACAAGATGGCCTCCGTAAAAAAAAGCATGTGAAGTAACATTATTAAAATGAAGTTGACCGAAGAGAAACGCTATTGCAATTTTTGCTTGCGGTTGTTTCTTGCTGAGGTGAGACTCAATGTGGTGGGTATGTGGATAACGTAAGCAGTACGCTTGTTGCTGAGTTCGACTTCCTCACGGAGAACCTCGATAGTGGATGTTTAATTTGTGCTTATTCACTTTGATTTTCATTTAAACGCTTTCTTTATCACATTGTGTCCTAAATGTGATATCTCGATGTAAATTCTGTAAAAACGGATTTTTTAAAGACTTTCTTCCCCCTTTCGCATACATTCTATTTTGAAACTCGCCCCAGTCCTCTCTCAAAAATCAAGGAAAATGCATTTGGTGCGCACTTTCTGCAGCTCTATCGCAAAAACGAGTACGGTGACCCCCATTTTTTATTTCATGATTTTAATAAGGACAGTGCTTCCTTTCGGTGAGAAAAAAATTGGCACAAATCTATGTTCAGTTTTTTGGCAGTTTTACTAAATTGTATGGATTGAGTTATCACGTGTCGAATAGCGCGTGTCCAATTTAATTCTACTTTGGAACGTAAAGTAAAAACAAGGGCATTAAAAGGCATTTTTCTAATACGTAAGTGGATAAACAATACATTAAAGTCAAATTCTGTGCGATACCACATGCATCATTGAAAAAATCTTTCCTTTTTGTCTAGTTTTGGGC